CCAAATCAGCGAACGAGACATCGGTGGTCGATCCAAAGGATGCAGGCATCGCGCTGAAGGTGTTGGGTACGGCAATGAGTGTTCATTGCGAGATTGGTGCGAATGCCGAACTGTCAAGACAACAGCCATCCGAAGAGCTGAACAAAAGTCAACAACCCAATATGTTGGTGGCCCGCGCATTCAATATTGCAAACGCCGACTCGGCAGATGGCCCAGAGATGGGAAACCAGGATGAGAAGGAAGCAACTCGTAGAATAATTATTCGAAAAATGAAAAGATTGGGATTTCTTTGGATACGGGTTTTTCCGGATACCCCTGTTACTTCAAAACCTACAGAAAATCGTATGGGTAAGGGGAAAGGCGCTGTTTCTTTTTGGGTAGCAAAAGTTAAAAAAGGCCAGATTCTATATGTTAAAAGAGAGCGAAATAGGCGTGAATTAAACTTGGTTTAAATATGTTAAAGAGAGCGGAATAGCATGAAATAGACTTGGGTTAACTATGTTAAAAGATAGCGAAATAGCGTGAATTAGACTTGGTTTAAGTATGTTAAAGAGAGCGGAATAGCATGAAATAGACTTGGTTTAACTATGTTAAAAGAGAGCGAAATAGCATGAAATAGACTTGGTTTAAGTATGTTAAAAGAGAGCGAAATAGCGTGAATTAGACTTGGTTTAAGTATGTTAAAGAGAGCAGAATAGCGCGAATTAGACTTGGTTTAAGTATGTTAGAGAGAGCAGAGTAGCGTGAATTAGACTTGGTTTAAGTATGTTAAAGAGAGCAGAATAGCGCGAATTAGACTTGGTTTAAGTATGTTAGAGAGAGCAGAGTAGCGTGAATTAGACTTAGTTTAAGTATGTTAAAGAGAGCGGAATAGCGTGAATTAGACTAGGATAAAGTATGCAAAATGAAGCTGAGGACTTTGTGAAAAAATGCGAAGTTGTTTGCTGTTCTAATTGTATGGGTTTGGAGATGTTTTTGGCTTGGATTAATAACAGGCAGGAAGCGCGAGGAAACGCAGCGAATATGGACGCGTACGCGGAAGGTGACGGCGGAGGAAGCGCGGATATGGAGGTGAAAATGGTGAAGGTGATGGCGCGAGGAAGGTGACGGCGCATGGGTGTGAATATGGAGGTGATGAAAGGTGACGGGAGGAAACGCATGATGTATATGACAAGTTGGTGTCGTACTTAAGCGGAGCGCGCGCTGTGCATGTATGAAGACTAAGTGCGAATAGTGCCTAAGTTCGTATGTTATGGACTAAGTGCGGTATTTTATCATTAAGTTCGCGTTAGAGGACCCCCCAAAATGAACATTTTCTTGCGTCTTGGGAAGAGTATTGTAGAGTGCCCCGTAAAACTTTGTGGTGTTAAGTATGATACTAAAACACACTAACTGCCCTAAGGATTCACGTCGATTTCATTCTAGGAGTCGAGATATGTTATTTTAAGTTTTTGGGATGTCATGGATGCAAATCGTTTGCTACAGGCTCAAGAACGCACTTTTTGTATACCATGTTATTTTAAGAAAATGTCCGTTTCGATGCGCTCTTCAAAAATGTTCGACTTGCGAACCATGATTTTCTGCGTCTGTGCCACGTAATTCAGCAAAAAGAGCATGTAATGGAGTGAAATGAGAGGGTGTGTCATCTCTAAAGTAAAATCTTTAAAAGAGCATAACTTAAGAACGGCTGGGAATAGGTGGCCGTTCTTTTTACCATCATGTGCGCCTAAAAAAAGTACACTATCGTGACAATCGATATCGGTCGATATGGTATAAATTGATAAAGTTATGCTCGATTATGTACGCGAAAACAGAAAAAGGGCGCTGGTGACAAAAAAAGTACTAACGATTCTGTTATTGTTTTGATATTCTGTCATCCCAGACTCTTGCGCATCTGGTGACCTATTTTTTATTCGCCAGTTCCGAGAAAAGTGTCGTTTCGATGCGTGGTGGGCCCGGGATGACAATTCGAGTTGAGTTGGAAGTTCATGTGAAGTCCTGGAAACAAGAAAAAAAGAAGATCCACGCTTCCCTAACTCAAAAAGTCATTAGAAACCGAGGGTAGCTTGTATGGAGACTTTTGTTCCTCGTGCGCTAAAACGCCGAATTAAATTTTTTATCTATACTTAACAGGAAAAAAGTTGCCTCCTTCGCGATATATAGGCAAATAAAGAATGGGTGCTATCATTTCGGGACAAAACAGGTGAAAATTTAGGTCGAAAAAAGTGTTTATAGACAAGGCATTTGAATTTAGCCAAAATCTGACTTGACCACGGGAATGCGCGCATAAAAGCACCCCTAGGGCAGTTTTTATACGGAGCAGTCTCATTTGCTTCCTGGATGTGCAGGGCCAAACATGGCCAAAAGTGGTGATTTTGGCCGTCCAAGGTGTCCATTTTCCGCGAAAATGGCGTTTTTTGGCGTCACTAAAAAAATCATTGCGAAGCCACTACTGGAGATATGCTTGTAAAACTTTGGGAGCGGTCGTGCGAACACATGCGCCAAGTTTTCTGCTAAAGTCTGCAGGCCAGATCTGCCGGGCGGCACATAAAACCGGAAAAAACCACCTAAAAAAAGAGCATGCCAAACAAAGTCTCACATTTCGCTGAATAACTTTTGATCTAGAAGAGTTAGACAAATTCTGATTGCGGGAACGGCTCCGCCGTGTGTTTTTACATATGTCTATGTCCCGTAGATAAAAAGTACATGTTGCAAAAAAAGTACATGTTGTACATAAATCTACCTTTGATATTCGGATTCCCCGTGAAAAACTACGCCTAGGCCGCAGGGTTACAAAGACGAGTCATTGCACTTATGCCCTTTTATAGACGCTTTTAGAAATCGGCCAAAACAGTATTTATTAATTTAGACAGTGTTCCGCTGACATGTCGCATGCTGCGATATGTCCACGTGAAAGAGCACCGAAAAGCACCCCTAGAACACCCTTCATACCCGTTCTAACGGTTCTCTTTCATCTTCATAATAATCAAATTAAAGAACACCATACAAAAAACAAGATCTCGTGTGTAGTGGCTCGCCAGGCATACTAAAACCAAGATGTCGTGTGGGCACATGCCAGACATCATATCTTGCGTTGCAAACACACGCAAAGTCGGTAAACAGCTCAAAACGGGCTAAAAAGTAGACAGCACCCGGACTTCCCGGTGGTCACCCACCCGAGTACTACCCGAGCTTGAGGCTGCTTAACTTTCACAGAGCAGACGGGATATGGTGCTTTCAGCCTAAGATGGCCGTCTACATTTGACTTTGACCGACACACCTATTAGTGTTTATCACTCGTATACATTGGTACAACACATTTACACACTCACATGTCCACATACGTGGCCATAGACTGCACACGATGGCCCCCAATACCCCTTCTGGCCCTCAGAATTGGCTGGGTGGATGGCTACACTTTATATAGTAACAAAACAAAAAGGGGGGTGGTGTGGCGCACTCCAATACAAACGTGTGGCCAGCAGCTCACTCCTACAACGCAGCATACGTATTCTCTCCGATAGGAACCCCACACAGACCGACACCTTCATACACAGCAGTGCAGATAGCCGCCGCACCCCATATTTGCGCATACGCGGCCTGGAAACAATGTTAAACCACCAAAGTGGCCATTTACGACTTGCACAACCATACCTACGCTTCCTATGCGACATGACATGTGCACGTACGCGTCTTAGGCAATATGAACACCTTCGACACCTTCATACATGCACAGCGCGCGCTCCGCTTAAGTACGACACCAACTTGTCATATACATCATGCGTTTCCTCCCGTCACCTTTCATCACCTCCATATTCACACCCATGCGCCGTCAC